AGCTGAGGAACCCAAGAAGATTCCCGAGATGCATATGCCGCTCAAGAAGTCGATATTGAGAGCATTCAGGCTAATGGATAAGGAACTAAAAGCACACCCCACAATTGATTGCTTTTGTAGTGGTACGACTGCCGTGACTCTAATAAAGCAGGTACTTTAATTTATTTTTCCTTTTTTACATTTCAAGTTTTTAGGTCCTCGCTTCTCTATAAATTCAGTCAAATTGCGTGGTGTTTTCCAGGGATGAATTTTCATTTGTCTATCTTTGCACTTTGTGGGGCAGCAGTTTTTTTGTACTCGCCTGTTAGCATTTACGTCGATATCTATGTTGATTTATGGCAAGTCGATGATGTAATATGTCATTTCCAGATTAGTTTTGCCGCTTGTGTTTGTTGCGATGGAACTTTTTGCACTTGGCTCGTTCATGAGCTTTGAGAATGTGGTCTTTTTTCCACAATTATACTCTGTTCGTGTGCACTGAATCATGTGAGCTATGGCGTTCTTAGTTTTCATGAAATAGTAACATCTTCTGTAAAAACGCAGGAAGCAAGACTCAATAGAGTGCATTGAAATGGAGCCAGAGACATATATTTTTTTTAGAAAAAACGCCCAAAGATTGGAATTGGCCAAATGAACTCTACTGCCTCTCTTGCTAATGTTACGACTGCTATCATCACGTCACCTTTTACCGATGCTCTCATGACTTATCTACTTTGAGTTATATCTTTGGTTTATCTGGGCATGATTAGTTGAGAATTCTGAGCACACGAGAGACTTCAAATCGATTAATGATTCTTATTATTCACAAGGACTGATCAAGTTGATAAAGCACATTAATTTTCTGAAAATATTAAATTTGACTATTCATTGTCCTGATCAAAATTTCCCGAGTCGCGAATATTCATTCTTGCCTTCTTAATGATTGTTCATCATTAAGAATTTCGGTCCACCTAGTAAAAGGGGGATCCAAGAATGCTAGATAGAGTTCATTTTTTGTTACTTGAGGTTGAGGCCATCATTTTTCTTTTAATCTACAACATGTCCATCTGATGATGATCAAATCTGTTATTTGATGGTCTTAAAGTACTTAATTCTTAACACAAGCATATTTACAGGGCCAAGACCTCATAATTGGGAATGTAGGTGACTCGAGAGCAGTACTGGCAACTCGTGATAAAGACAATGCTTTGGTGGCTGTACAGTTAACTGTCGACTTGAAACCTAATCTTCCAAGTAATTTTTTTGTTTTTATATATTTACATTCTAAAGGTTGGTTCCATATGCATCGTTCATAGATACAGACTATATTATTCAGGGGAAGCTGCTAGGATCCAGAAATGTAAAGGAAGGGTTTTTGCATTGCAAGACGAGCCAGAAGTGGCACGTGTGTGGCTTCCGAACAGCGATTCCCCTGGCTTGGCCATGGCTCGAGCATTTGGGGACTTCTGTCTCAAGGATTTTGGTTTGATATCCATCCCGGATGTTTATCACCACCATATTACAGAGAAGGACGAATTCGTAATTCTCGCCACTGATGGGGTACGTAAGTCAAAACAATTCACACTTCATTTAGATATAAAAAGAGTGTTTTTTTTTTTTTTTTTTGTGACGATAATGTCGGCAAGTCGTCGCTGAAATAAATGTTTAGAATGACAAACATGAAAATTTCATTCCTAAAATACCAATGAGAAATATTTGCTTCATCATTGCTTAATGTTAAAATGTCGGCCAAAAAAAAACCATAAATTGCGAAAAAATTCATTGCAATCTTCCGGTTCTCTTTTTTCCGTAACGGATCTCTGAAGGTATTTTGGAAAATCAGGTCTGGGACGTACTATCCAATAAAGAAGCAGTCAACATAGTGGCCTCTGCCCCGAGCCAGGGAACAGCCGCCCGGGCCCTCGTTGAATGTGCCACCCGAGCATGGCGGCTCAAGTACCCAACCTCAAAAACCGATGATTGTGCAGTTGTCTGTTTATTCCTTGAGCACATGCCCCTAGCAACACAAGATGTCGATCAGGAAGAAACGAATGTTTTAGAAGAAGAAACCCGCACAGTTTCCTCAAATGTGGAGAATCAAAACGAAGTTGCAACCGAAAAATCGAGTGAGATAGTGCCAGTTGTCGATGAGGAGAAGAAGATTGACTCCAAGAGTATCGGTCAATCTAAGAGGAGCTTGGCCGAGTGCCTCTCGACTGCTGAGGATGAGGAGTGGTCGGCCCTTGAAGGTATAACGAGGGTTAATAGCCTGCTTAGTCTCCCGAGGTTCTCGCCCTTTGATAAAAGGTCCACCAGCTGGAGAAAATGGATTTGAATTACACCTCAAGTGTTAAGTTGGTATATATATATATATATATAATACATGTGTGTTGTTGCCTTGAGATGAAGCTGATGTTTTGAGAATGACTTGAGCAGGGTTGTGAGGTGTTTGTTTGGTTGAACTGAGATAGAAGATTTTTTTTTGTATTTATTGAGCTTTTAATTTAGGGAGATGCTATGGTCCCGTTACGGTACCATTCCGCCGTAATTTGTAATCGTTAGATCAACTATCTTCGACGGTTGCATGATGATCTAATGGTTACAAACCCGACGGAACGGTTCTCTAATAAGACCGTAGCATTTTCCTTTAATTTAAACGTGTGTAATTTTAGATAGTAACACTGTTTCGGTCATCTGTAATAGTTGCTACTCTTGCCATGTGCGAGGAGAAAAAACTGTGTTCATTAAATTGTTTTACAAAATTGATTTTGGATTTGTAGTTTTTTTATTTATTTATTTTTCATGGTATTTTTTGTTTCAAGGATCAATTATTAGTGTAGTGTGTGCCGCATTATTTAATGTAACTGATGCTTGCATATAATTTTTTTTGGGTTTTTGTTTGGATTTTTTGATTTGGTTTGATTAATTTTGAAAATAGTGGTATGGTTAGTTAGCATTGAGTATATTAAAATAATATTTAAAATAAAGAAGTAAAGTTGATTTGATGTGAAAATAAGAAAGAAGAGATGATTGAAGTTATGATTAATTGAAATTATGTGAGTTGATAAATAATGAATTAATGTTGTTATGGTGTGTAAGAATGATTGATTGATATTATTTAATTATATTGATGATAGAGATTTTGAGTTAAAAAAGATGGTTGGATTAAAAATAATTGGGTTTTTTTTAGATAAATTTGTATCCAAGCAGTATTCGTTTGTTACACAAGCATTGAATATAATATTAATACGTGAAAGAATTAAAAAGAAAATATATATATATATATAATATTTTGTTAAATATTATTTTTTAAAATAATTTTTTTTTTTTTTGATGCATATGAAATTCAAAATTATAAAGAATGATTAATATAAAGAATGATAATGTATAGAACTTATTAACTTATAATATACTAGTATGTAACTTGTGCGATGCACGGGCTGTATTTACTTCGGAGAATATTAAAAATTAAAATGTATTAATAAATAAAAGAGCGATAATTCGTAGGAAAATTATCAAACCATAAACTGTTCCTCATGCAAAAAAATATATTATTTAAATTTTCTTGTACACAACATTATTTGTTCAATAACTGAGCAACTCGTCGTCCCCACATACTAATATTTTCAACACTTTTCTATTACTTACACGGGAAACAAACAACATAATTATCAGTGACTAAAAATCGATTTATTTAAGAACATGACAACGTACAATAAATGTTGACCTTGACTCTTCTTGACCTATTACTTACACGCGTAACAACATACAATTGGTCGTGATCAAAAAAAGTTTTTTTTTTTTTAAGAACATGCCAATGCATATCTCTTATCTATTACTTACACGTAAAAACAACAACATATAATCGGTCGTTACTAAGAACCAATTTCTTTAATAATATGTCAACGTACATAAAGACTGACACTGATCTTAAATGAAACCCTAAGGTTAGAAGTAGCTGGTGATCTAGAACTTAAATAAATCCTAAGGTGTATATTTTTATAATATGATAACTTACTGAGGCAGTCAGGCAGTGAGTTGTTAGTTTAATATCGATTATACTTGATTAGCTATATAATATTCACTAAAATTTCTATATTTCATATAAAAAAGACTGACGATGACTGTTAAATGGAACCCCAAAATCAAAAGGAACTGTGCCGCTAGAACTTAAATGGAAGTCTAAGATGAATCTATTTATAATATGATAATATATACAACAATTGGACAAATGAATTGGTGTATATCTACAAAAATATGTATGAATAATACAAAACATTAAATATTACATCACGCTAATTT